TAATTAAATAATTAATAAATTAAATGTTACTTTTTATTTTTTTTTCAAAACTCCTAACCTAAAGACACATGTTACAAAAACCCTTAAAAAAATTAAGAGGAATCAAAGCAAAATCTCTTCCCAAACACAAATAAAAAGAATCATCAATTTATATCTAAAAATTTAGAAGACAGTGTAAATTAAATATTTTCCTCGTAACCTTACTAAATCCAAATCAAAACTCTACAAGGATTAATTCTATAATAAACAATAATAAGTAAGAAATAAATGATTATAACACTTTACTTTTAAAAATTATAATAATAATTATAATATAGATATTATTTTAATTTTATACAGTAAAAATATCAACTATATAAATAAAAAATTAGTTAAACAATCCAATTAACAAATTAGACAAATAGTTCTCAACCACTAAATTTAATTCTTGATTTTATACTTAATTTTTTTTTTTTTGAATCTTGCTTGCACAACGAGATGCGACTATTTCTTATCCCTTATCCCACCCCACTCAAACTCGTGATTTCTTACTTTTAGCAAAAAAAGATGACCACTAAATTATTTATGTCGTTAGCCTTGATTTGATACTTATAAATACTCTTTTTCAGAGTCGCTACATGATCATTTTTTTCACAACTCAAGTGTAGTACTTACTTGAATACGTCCGAATACTTAGAGATAGAGTGGATGTGTTCATTACAATGCTCACCCCTAGTTTCGATGCAAAGATCAAAATCACGTTTTATGGTATAAACCGGGCCAAAAGCCCACGTCACTTTAGAGTCAGTGGCCTGTCTTTACGACTAATAGGCCCAGGACTAATGGACCATCAGACTTTTTTAGGTCAACAGTACTTGCAGATTAGGAATCCACAAAAAATGGCAAAATAAGCCCTTTAATTCATTAGGCCCGCTGAACAAATTAACCTTGATTAAACGGGAATGGTTATGGCAATCCAATGATCACACAAACTTTTGAATTTTTTCTTTTAATTTAATTTAATTGTTAAAAATAAATTATTGATTAATAAATACTAAAATAATTAATATTTATTATTTAATATATTAAAATCAATTTACATATTAATATTTTCAAATACCTTAATTTTTTTTTTTTGAACAAGTTAAATTTTGAGAAAAAAAGATTCGAATCTCAACCTTTATATCAGAAATGCATTTTACTACGAGACATATAATTCATCAAACTGCAAAATTCAAGTGCAAATACCCTAACTATTTTTTTTTTTGGTATTAACCTCCCAGTGTCCGGTAACCACTTTGGGTCCCGACTAATCTGGAATCGAGCCGCGTCGGACCCCATTAGGGGGGAAGCTCTCCCAGCGCCTGTTTCTCCATGCACAAGACTCGAACTCGAGACCTTGTTTAAGGAAATACCCTAACTATTTGCTACCCTAACTATTTGCTAAAAGAAAGAGTGGGAGTTTATATGGCCCAACAATTTTCATGTGTGGGTTTAACCACTTCCTGCTATTATTACTTTCCGTTAAAGGCTGTGGCGTGGCAGTTAACAGAAAATGATTGATTGATCTTTTGTTATTAAATTTACAGATTTTTCTACTGTTTAGAATTTTGAAAGAATAAAAAATAATATTTAATTTATTAATTATTTAATTAAATTTATTTATGTAATATTAATATTAAAAATAATATCTATTTTATATTTTTTATATAAATTTATAATAAAAAATATCCTTAACATGTATTCTTAAAATATAAATAAAAAAATCTTAAATTTATTTAGAATAAATTTTTTTTTAATTATTTTTTCCTGTTGACTGAATGCACGAGGGGGGTGAATTGGAGTTCCAAAAATTCTCCCCTTTTTGCAATTACAAAACCAAAATTAAAGAGAATAGAGAAGAAGAGTTTGCTCAATGATTTATAGAGGTTCGGTCTAACCACTTGGAGTCTAGTCCTCTACCTTGGCTTTACTCACAAATGATTTCCTCCACACTCTCTACTAACAACAACAATGGTGGCTTAAAGGAGCCACTCAATCCTTTTACAAGAATAAGGGTGTTTCTCTCAAATCTCACCCCTTTACAATGTAAACCCCAAAGATCCTCTGTATAGATCACTCTTGAAGCAATCAACACACCCCCAAGATCACTCATTAATAGCACAAGAAGAGGATTACAAATAAAGATCTCTCAAAGATCAAAATTTCAAGTTAAAACTCATGTAGGTAGATAAAGATATTCAATACAATAATCTCTTAATTTTTTCAGATCTGTTACCAACCATATTTATAACCCCTTACTTGAAAATAGCCGTTAGTAGCCGTTGGAAGTCATTAAATGCTCTGCAGGACGCAAAACTCGAGTTGCAGAATTGTCAGGAGAGCCGGCTTAACTTCCTAGAACCGGCTCTGTACAACCAACTTTGCGGGATTCCTGCACATTCTGTTTTCCTCGAGAGCCGGTTGCAAAACTTTGAGCCGACTTTGGAACTCCGACTTTAAATACATTAAATACTCTTCAAAAGAGTCAACCGTTATGCATTAAATGCACTCTCACAGCCGGCTACAAAGTTGGAGCAAGCTTTGCGTCTTTTCTCCACGCACACTAAACAACAATCTTCAAATTTTTGCCCGTAGAACCGGCTGCAGCTTCCAGAGTCGGCTATCTGTACTTCCATTTCACCAGAGCCGGCTCTCTGCACATTTTGAATCCTTTTGATCAATTTTTAGTGCAATTTAAGTTTACTTGTAATCCAAGTTTACTTGTAATCCAAGTTTACTTGCAATCTTTTAGCAACTTAACTACACACTTAAATAAACCAATTAGTCACTCAAATATGTTTGGTAATCATCAAAATCATAGGTACAATATTTCCAAATTTCAATATATAAAGTAATGAGCCCAAAAGTTAAGTGGTTAATAATAAGGTTTTCTTAGTTAAAGTAAATTTGTATTCAAGTTGTAGAGTTAAGGAGTAAGAAAAAATTTACTAATAATTTTTAAAAATAATTTAATTATACGCGTATACATGTACATATGATTCTTAATGAACATATTTTTAAATTGATTTAAGTATTTTTTTTATTTAGATTGAAAAATTCATTTACTAATTTCAAAAATAAGTGTATGTTTCTTTTGAAAGATCTCCCTTTTCCTTTTTCCTTATTTAGATACATGTAATTTGTATAAAGAAAATTAAAACAGCCTCTTCCCTGCAATTTTATTATTTAAATAAATAAAATTTTCTTTTGTCCTCTTTTTTCTTTAGGTTGGTTATCGTCATTCTTTATTTTATTAAGACTATCAATTAGATCTTCAATTTTACTAATTTATAATTTTTTAAAATAATTAGTTAAGAAATATTGGTTTATAAATTAATTTTAATATATTAAAAAATAAATATTAAAGTTTTATTAATTATTAATTATTTTTAATAATTAAATTAAGATAAAAATTTAACCATTTTGGTCATCTATTAAGGGTGATTTTAATCAAAGCCTTTAAACATGATATAACATTATTATTTTTAAGTTAAATTCGAATTTATTTGTAAAGGCGAAAATCAACTCATTCAATAATAACCATGAAAAAAAAAAGAAAAAAAGAAAAAATCACATTCAATTATAACCAGAAGGTTGGTCGGATATAATAATTTCCACTCTTTTGTTATTTGCATTAATAATAATAAATGAGATGAAAATTTAAAATTAATGT